CGCTCTGAGCTCGCGTTCAGACTGTCGCTGTACATTGTCATGTCTCCCCTAGCTGGCGCTTTCGGAGGTTTGTTGGCTTCAGCGATTCTCACGCTCGATTCCTTCGGCTCGCTCACACGCTGGAGGATGATCTTTGCTATAGAGGGCATTGTCACATGCTGCTTGGCCCTTATCTCCTTCATGACGCTCACAGATCGTCCGGAGACCGCGCGCTGGTTGACGCAAGAAGAGAAGGATTTGGCGATTGCTCGTGTCAAGGTATGTCACCATCTACTGCGAAAGATGCATACCACAGTACAGCGTGGATTCGGCTAGACAACCCGGTATGTATAGTACAACTGCTGACTTTTGATCCAGTCCGAACGTGTCGGCCAGAACGAGGTTCTGGATAAGCTAGACAAGAAGAAGACGCTTCGCGGTATCTTCAATCCTGTGGTTCTGGCGACTTCATTCATCTTCCTTCTCGACAACATCACAGTGCAGGGTCTGGCTTTCTTCGCACCCACGATTGTCAAGACGATATACCCAAACGATACGGTTGTTTCGCAGCAACTTCACACCGTGCCACCATACATCGTGGGCGCCTTCTTTACACTTCTGCTACCATTCCTGAGCTGGAGATTCGATAGGCGCATGATTTTCTTCATCCTGGGAGCACCACTCATGATGATCGGATACATCATGTTCTTAGCCAGTACAGATGGGCAAGTTCGATATGGTGCTACCTTCCTCATCGCGTCGGGAGCATTCTCGTTTGGCGCGCTGTGCAACGCGCAGGGCTCTGCTAATGTTGTGTCCGACACGGCGCGTGCATCCGCTATCGGTAAGTACCAGGATTTTTACGTCATAACAAAGCAAAGTCTGACTGAATGTTAGGTACTGTTGTCATGTTTGGCAACGTAGGCGGCCTGATCTCGACATGGAGTTTCCTCCCTACAGATGCGCCTAATTATCCAATCGGTAATGGGCTCAACCTGGCGACCAGCAGTACAATCTTGATATCGAGTATTCTATTGTTGCTCTGGATCAACAGGAGCAACAAGCAGCGTGATGCCATTGATGTTGACCAGGAGCTGGCTGGCAAGTCGCAGGGAGAGATTGAGGATTTGGATTGGCGGCATCCGTCGTTCAGGTGGAGGCCCTAAAGGAACCTGCATCACGAATGTATTATACGAAACAAATGCCAATCATCACTCTTGCATGAAGAAATACCAACTGCAGTACAAGATGCTCCTGATGAATCCCAATGTGTGTTGCATGGCAAAGACCGAGTAATCCCCGTCATCCGGATTCCCCGCATCGATCGATAAGCATACCCACCGCCCCGAACGCGACCTCGGTCCAGGAGCTCTTTCGTCATGCATCCGAGCACGACAACCATGATGAGCTATTCGGGTCGTCGCTCCGCGCATCTGAGCTGCACATATCTAATCGCGCTTCCTCCCTAGCCTGTGCACTCGACATTGAACTGCTACGCGTCATCACATCACGTCTCAAGCGCCATCAACCATGCCTTCCGCCATCGTGATCAGACAAGTCGAAGGCAAGCCAGGCAAAGTCTACTACCCACTCGAGAAGATAACCGTTCCCGAACCCAAGCCCAAAGAAAATGAAGTAAGCTCCCTCTACAACAACTTGACACTCCCGCACAATCTAATCCCCATCACCCAGGCCCTCATAACCCTCACCGCCGCCGCGCTCAACCACCGCGACCTCTTCATCCGCCAACACCTCTACCCCGGCACAACCTTCGGCGTTCCCCTCCTCGCAGACGGCGTCGGCATCGTCACCTCTGCCGGCGCATCCCCCTCCGCACAATCATGGCTCAACAAGCGCGTCTTGCTGAACCCGGGTACGGGCTGGAAGGACAGCATGGACGGCCCCGAACATCCCAAGGGGTATGCGATAATGGGCGGCACGAAGAGCAATCCCGTGGGCACACTACAAGATGTCTGCGCGCTTGACGCCAGTGAGCTGGAGGAATGTCCCGACCATCTCAACGACGAGGAGGCTGCTGCGCTGCCCCTTACCGGGCTGACGGCGTGGCGCGCGTTTTGGGTTAAGAGCGGGAATGCGATGCCAGGACGGAATATCCTCGTCACGGGCATTGGGGGTGGTGTTGCGCTTATGGTGCTGTTGTTCGCTGTGGCACAAGGTTGCAATGTGTATGTGACGAGCGGGAACCAGGACAAGATTGACAAGGCGGTCAAGTTGGGTGCGAAGGGAGGTGTTATCTACAAGGAGAAGGATTGGGATAAGAAACTTCAGGCCATGCTGCCCAAGGAGAGGAAGTACCTCGATGCTATCGTTGATGGCGCGGGCGGTGATGTTGTTAAAGTGGGAAGTAAGATACTCAAGGTTCGTTGCCCCCTCCCTCTCCATTTCCTGCAACAATAAGCTAATTTATCGTCATAGGCCGGCGGCGTCATCTCCATATACGGCATGACCGTATCACCCAAAATGGACTTCCTCATGTCCGCCGTGTTGCGCAACATCGAAGTCCGTGGCTCCACCATGGGTTCGAGGAAGGAGTTTGCTGATATGGTGCGCTTTGTCAATGAGAAGAAGATGAAGCCGGTGGTCAGTCGCAGTGTGCATGGTTTGGATGTGGAGAAGATTGATACCCTGTTTGAGGATATGAAGAGTGCGAGTCAGTTCGGTAAGTTGGTTGTTACGCTGGGGCAGGGCAAAGCGAGTAAGTTGTAAGGGTCTATCGATTACTTCGATGCGTCTCTCTTCAGAAACCTAAGTCTTTGTCCGAGAATGCCACACTTTACAGCTCAGTAAAGCTACCATGAGGATTATGCTGGCGCCCGACGAGCGCATATGGACCGCCCGTGTTTCTTTGTCCGGGGCCTGTATGAAACTAACGGAGTGAGCGGAGTGAGTGAGAGGAGGGTCGGACATGCACTCCCTCCGGCAATACATCGGAGATAGAGGCTGGGTTACACAGATAAGCATGACTACATAGCATCGCTTTTGAGCCCCCAAAAAGCTTCTTCTTGCATCATCCACATTCACTCCTCGTCTGCAACGGTTACGTCATAGTCAAGCAAGGATATCACCACCATGTCTACACGAGACTCGGATAAGGAAAAACCTTACATACCCCATAACAGTCTAAATCAGGATGGCTACTCCAAAGAAGGCGAGGCGACAGCTACATGCTATTGCGGAGCTGTACAACTAGCATTTGTAAGTTCGTGCTCCAGTAGCTCCAGTCTTCCTCCATCAAACACATCTAATGCTCAACGCAGCCAACCACCGCCCCAGGCCTCGTAGACACCTTCGTCTGCCACTGCACCGATTGCCGAAAGATCACAGCGTCAGCTTTTACCTCAGCCTTCATTGTCGCGGCTTCAGCTGTCAAGCACATTCGCGGCCAGGACAACCTGAAGAAATTCTCACAGTCCCAGACGACTGCTTCTGGCCAGGCGATGACGAACTGTTTCTGCGATACATGTGGAACGCTCATGTACCGGCAGAGTGAGCGGCATCCCGAATTTACCCTAATGAGGCTTGGTATGTAACGTTCTTCGGTCAGGCGAGGTGTGTACTAAATGCAGCAGGCACCGTCGACGATCTGAATCTGATGGAGGGCTTACTGAGACCCAAGCGAGAGGTCTACGTCAAGGACAGGGTGAGTTGGGTCCATGGAGTGGAAGGAGCGAGGCAGAGTGAGATCATGGAGTAGCTGTTGAAAACCAAGAACTGGGAAAATGAACAATTACCATGGCTGCAACATGGGGAAAGTTCACTTTACAGTACTGTCTCAGATACAAGGTTCATTGGTGTCCTAGCTTGATGTCGCACCTACTCAACAAAATTGAGGGTGAACAGTAAAGCTTATGCAGTTCCCATGAACACGACCCAACGGACATGCTTACCAAATCACCGATATCCTCCAAATCGCATGCAACCGATCCCTGCATATCCTCAGGAACCACCAATCGGCCACTAACACCGCAGATCAGGCCTCAAGCGTGAAGCCGTCCCAACGGAAGTTACGCGACGCGTGCCATAATTGTTTTTGCTGGCTTGGGAAGACCAAAACAAGTCCGTAGCAACGAACCCTCCCCTTTCGTCGTTTGTTTCGATCCATTCGATCCCAGAACCGGGGGTCCGTTGTGTTCTTGAATCCTTACCTTGTGGGGCTGGAAGTGTAGGAAATGCGGAGTCGGGGTTAAAACGACGGTTTTCCATGTGTGTAATACATCGATGACGAAATGATATATTGGCTTACTGAGCAACACCATCGATAACAACAACCACAACAATAGCCGGTATAGCCACTGAACGAACGGAAGGGAAAACACGGCCTGCATTATCTGGATCTGTCAGCCAACTTAGCAGCTCCCGCGAAAGTTTTAGTGCTCACCATTACAAATCCTGGGGTACACAACATATCGCGAGGCAAGGGAGGGAGAGGAACATAAAAAAGAGAAGGAAAGCCAGTCGCAACCATGAAGTTCATCAAGCAAATCGCCCAGCGCCTGAATCCCGACTTACACATCCCCGGCACCGACAATCCACCACCAGCCGTGCTGCGCAAGTCAAAGAGTTCAACTACACTACTAGTAACAGAGAAACGAAAAGAACTCTCCACGCCGCCCTCGCACTCCTCTCTGCGCAAGAAAGCAAGTTCCATGTTCCTAGGCCGCGGGTCTAACATACAAGATTTCGCAAACTGGGGAGATACACCAATCCAAAGTAGTGGCACGCCTACCGAGGCAACAGCATCAGCAACTAGTCTTCCCCCGCCTTTACCATCAACACCAGTACGAGCGCCAGGAAACGCCTACGCGCTATCCCCATCCCCGCTTTCAACACCGCGGCCATCGACGCAGAACTCCTCAAGGACAACACAGCCTTCCGCGCAAACCTCAAGGCAACCCTCTACCCGCACGTCTACCAGAACATCAACCAGGACCACCCAAACGCCCACGCCTGTAGTACCAGCGACGCCCTCACTAAGAGATCCCGCGCCAATAGCATCATCCATGGCCATGTCCGTCAGCACATCCGATAAATCCCTGCCTTACTTCCCGCTCGCAGGGCAGGCCAAAGACGGGTTTTCCAACAACGAAGAAGCGACTGCGACGTGTTTCTGCGGCGCGGTACAGCTCGCTTTTCCGGTCGAGGGCCCCGGTTTGGTATCGACGTTTGTGTGTAATTGTGCGGATTGCAGGAAGATTACTGCGAGTATGTTTGCTAGTAATTTTACGGTTAGGGATTCGTAAGTTTCTTTGTTTTTCTATTTAAATGGTTCTGGGGGTGTGGATGGGGGAGATGGAAGTGCAGTGACTGACTGAGATATAACAGACACCTGCGCCACCTCCGTGGTCGTGCGAACTTGTCGTCGTATGGTCAGGCCTCGACGATAGCTTCGGGTCATACCATGACGAACTACTTTTGCAAGACTTGCGGTACGCTCATGTATCGCGTTGGCGCTGCTTTCCCTGATTGTTCCATCTTGCGGCTTGGGACAGTGGATGATTTCAATCTCGTCGAGACGAAGTTGAAGCCGACGCGCGAGCTGTTTGTCAAGGATCGCGTGAGTTGGTTTGAAGGTGTCAAGGGGGATGAGGTGAAAAGTTTTCAGGCTATGTTGTGAACATGGTGTGGGTTTCCAAAGGCTTGGAGGAAGGAGTTTGGTAACAGGGGAGGATGTTGTACGGAACGACGTGGCAAGTGAACATGTTGTTGGGGCTGGTGTACGGAGTTGGAGGGATAGGGGTAGGCTCAACTGGTAATGATTAGATAGGAGGGCTGGATTGTAATATTATATGTGAGGTGGCGCGTTGGAGCCTCTTGAATATCTGCGCCAAGATGACGTTGTGAGGCTTAGGATATGGTATATTGATGCATTGCATTCATGCGAAGAGACTATCTCGAGAACACACCATGCTCCTTGACCTAAAAGCATGACGCCACGCTGATGTATGATAGTAATATAGAAGAAGGAGAGAAGCCCGTTACAGAGTCTGTCACTGCACATCACATGCCAAGGGTATCACTCACAGCCACTCATCCACATCATCCGCAACATCCATATCCGCATCAACGCCACCCATCTGCCGATCCTCATATTCTTCAACCTTGATCTCCTGCTCTCCGATAGTAGCGGAAGAGTCATCACCATCATCGTCGTGAGGAGCTGTGGGTGCATCATTCGTCGTCGTCACGGATTTGAGACCACCAAAGGCGTCGTTCGGAACCCATGCGAGATCGAGTTTGCCAACGTCGGGAATATTGAGGGATTGATCGAGGAAAGTTTCTGCTTGGTAGCGCTCTTTAAAGGTTAGGATGAGCGTGTCGGCTTGCTCGGGGTGACGCTCAATATTTGTGCATTCGGGTATGTTCTGTACATATCGTTAGCAGAGATGAACGAATACACGTATAACTTCTACTCACGAGAAGGTGCTGCCGCAGAGACTCATCCCTCGGTGTATCTGGCTGGATCTGGGTGACTGCCAGACGCCTAGGCCGGTTGTCGAGCTTCTTATTCACTACACTTCGACCAGCATGACCACCTGCACGGCCCCTGTACGCGCCCCGGTAAGGTCCAAAGCCCCTACCCCGAGGTGCAAAGGGAGCGTATCCTCGACCTCGGTAAGCTGGATTGAAGGCGCCACGGCCATGTGTCTCCTGCTCACCAGGACCATGTTGATCGAAAAGTTCTGCTGCTTCGGCCTGTAGCGTGGCAAGAGTCTGGGCGAAGTCGTCGTTCGGGTCCCCTGACAGTTCAGCAAGTTGTCGCTTAATCTCTTCTATCTCCTTGTTCTTTTCTTCCAGCTGTCTCTCAATGTCAGCAGCTCTCGCGTCTGCTTCCGCAGCCTTGCGACGACGCTCCTCGAACGCTTTCTGAGCTTCTGCCTGCCTAATGGCGATCGCCTCTAGGTCGAGCTTCTCTTCTTCGTCTTCTTGCTTCTCTTGGGCCAACTTTTCCTTTGTTTCTGGTGCGTACCAGTAGACCTTGACGAACCGGTTCTCAAAGACGGCTTTGGGACTATGATAAGCACGCCTAGCGGTCTGGCGATCAGCAAACTTGATCACTGCTAACTGCCTCCTAGAGTGTAGCTCGAGCTCATCGATGTCACCAAACTCTGAGAAGTAGCTCCGTATGCTGTCCTCGTTGAAATGCTCCGCTGGGATCTGCTCGACGACAAGAGTCCTATTCAACTTGTCACGCGAGTAGCCCGGCAAAGAGAACGATGCACGTGCCCTTCTACCCTTAGTTGCACGAGGCTGACTACCAGACACTCCTTGCTTGTTGAATCCTCTGGATGGCTGTACAGCAAGGAATGACTGCTCCGGATCGTATTCGGGGATTTCGTCAGGCGAAACGGCTACGGCGGCGTCGCTATGTTCGTGTGGACATAGGCTACCCAGCGCGCAGAAACCCCTCTCGTAATAATCAGCACACTTTGTCTTGGGTTGTCCTTGGCTTGAGCCACCGTCTTGCGTATTGGAGAAAGGAAGTTGAGGCATGCCCGGCAGATTTGCCCCGAAGGCTGCTGCCATGGCAAAGAAAGCCATGGGATCTGAGGTATCGAACGGTAAAGGGCCTGGTGGCGGCGGTGGAAGGTTTGCGAAATTCGGCATACCGCCAAAACTCGCGAACGCGTTCTGTGTCCGCGCATCTCCAGTCCCCGCATTCCTACCGCCTCTGCGAGCTGTCTGCTTCGACGGCCTGTTATTTCCTGCGCCGCTGCGGGTATAGTGTGGATCCTGGCCCTCTTGTGACTGGCTGTTGTCCCTCTCCAACACCTTGCGTTTCCTCGACTGATTCGAACCATCCTGATATAAACCCTGCGCAGTCGGTCGATCGGGTAAGAGGTGTGATGATGCCGAGTTCCTATTCGCAGCAGGACCTTTCGGGGCCCCGAATGGCACGTTCGACGGATGCGGTTCGTATTCGAAGTTCGTGCTGCCAACTATGGACTGTATGGGCGCGGATTGTGAGGCTTGAGAGGATGCTTGTGGTTTCGCGTCATTCGCTTTCGGCTTCGGAAGATAGCTCTTAGCTTTGAGTGCTGCAATAACGTCTTTTGCAAAAGGCTCGGTGTCTTTGGGCCATTAGCGACGAATTGTGACGTAGTCTTCGCATGCGCTTACTCTCCGGGCCAAGGAAGTCTTGCAGTGACTCGATCAAGGTACGCTGCACGTTTGCATCCGTATCGTCGACGGTAACGAGAGCGGCTACATAGTCAGCGAGCACTCCGCCTTCCACACCGGAGCTGCAATGCAGGTCAGTATGCGCCTGCGCGACAGCTTTGGTGAGAGCAATGTGTAGCTCCGACTTACATGTTCTCCACGTTCGGCAGCAACCAACTCTTGAACACGGCATGATCTTTCTCCTCGAGTAACATGGCGAATCCTAGTAGCAAATTAAATTCATAACCAGGTTGCGCGATCGCGTTAATGTCGAGTTGCAGTCTGGTACTGCGCTGTGGTGTTTCTGGTGTGACTTGGATTGCGCCGAGCGTACATCTTTCGCGTTGCTACTAGCGCGACGGTAATGTCATAGCTCTCTTACCCGTGAGCACGTGACGCCGATACCCCGCTACATTCACCATCTCGAACTCCTGGATGATCTAACCAGAAGGAGGTGCACCTACCAGGCCTGGACACTGCATGCATTCACTCACAACAACATCACCTTTACTAAAACACGTCACACATGAAAGATGCTTAGGTGTTTGTGCGATATAGCTTGATTTTCTCCAACTATACTACACTGAGAACATGTAAGGAAAAGGGTCATCATCCGTATCTTTCGTGCAAAGCCCCAAAAAACCTGACTAATATCAAGGGCGAAACCGCCCGGACCGACATTTACTAGCTCTGGTTGTCCCATGGGGGAGCTGATTGCGTCATACATCGACCAGCGGCCACGAGCTTGCCCATGACTGTCGGATGACCCAGAATCGCGAATAAAGGAAATCTAACGCTTTTGCGAGCATTCCCTTATAGCTTGTCGTAGTACTGCAGGATTCGTTAGCATATGCTGTTTCTAGACCATGCGGGAGGAAACTTACGTTGGAAACGTCGGGCACTTCAGTCTTGATACCCTTGCGCTTGCGCATGTCGAAGACGATCTTTCCGGTGAGGGTGGAGGGGTCAAGTGCCGAGCCACCAGTGAGATGTTGCCAATGGTCGAAGACTTGTTGTGGGAAGGCCTGTCCACCAGTGGCGGCACGGAGATCGGCAGTGAAACCGAAGGACTCGTTGACGGGAAGGTACGCCTTGACGTTGAATAGAGGAGTACCAACACGCTGGGCCTCCTCGAAGACGTGACCTCTCCTGCGGGTGAGGACACCGTAGATACCACCCATAGCCTGCTCGGGAACCTGGATCTCGCAGAGGTAGACGGGCTCGAGAAGAGTGGGCTCGGCAAGGAGAGTGGCGGCGTAGAGGACACGGCGCGCAGTGGGGATGATCTGACCACCACCACGGTGAATGGCATCAGCGTGGAGGGTAACATCCATGATGTTGAAGCGGATGGAGCGCATGGGCTCCTCAGCAATGGGACCTTCCTTGGTAGCCCACTGGAAACCAGAGACGACGGAGTCCTTGATTTCACTCAGGTACTGGACGGCCTTGGTCTGGTCAACGAGCAAGTTGGCACCGGTGGTGTCGGGACCGAAGCACCAGATCTTACGGGCATCGGTGACGTCCCAGCCGTGCTCGTCAGCAAGGATACGGGCACGCGACTTGATATCATCACGAGGAGCGATGACACCAGTCTCGATAGCGCGGGACACCTCCTCGTCCAAAGGCTGAGCAGTGAGGTAGAGACGGTTGTGCTTGTTGGGCGACTTGGACAGCGCGGTGATGCTGGAAGTGGCGTTGACAGTCTCACGGTACTGCACGACGGGGTCGGAGATACGGAGAGGAACACCGGCGTGGTCCTCCTCGAGATCCTTCAAGCAGATCTCCAAGTGCAACTCACCGGCACCAGCGACAACGTGCTCACCAGATGGCGAGATGTAGGTCAGAACGCAGGGGTCGGACTTGGAGAGACGCTTAAGACCCTCGACGAGCTTAGGCAGATCCTGGGCGTTCTTGACCTCAACGGAACGCTGCACAACGGGAGAGACGGAGAACTTCATAACCTTGAGGTTGTGGGCAGTCTCGTTGGTGGTGAGGGTACCAGACTTGAGCAAGAACTGGTCAACACCGACAAGACCGAGAATGTTACCGGCAGGGACGTTGTCAATGGGCTCGATGAAACGACCCATCATGAGAATGGTACGCTGGATGGCCTTGATGAACAAGTCCTCCTTCTTTCCGGGAGTGTAGTTGGGTCCCTGAATGCGGACCTTGAGACCGGAGCGGACGGTACCGGAGAAGACACGACCGAAAGCGTAGAAACGACCCTTGTCGGAAGTGGGCACCATCTTGGAGACGTACAGCATGAGAGGACCGTTGTGGTCGCAGTCCCGGATACCAATGGCGTTGACATCGTCGTGGGGACCCTCGTAAAGAGTCTCCATACGGTACTTCTGAGCGGTGACGGGAGAAGGAAGGTGGAGAATCATCATCTCGAGGAGAGCGTCAGCGGCGGGAAGGAACTTCCTCATGACAACCTTGAGGAGCTGCTTGCCCTCG